GAAGTCTATGAGGACAGCACCTGTGACCTCAGAAACACTTTTACTAACTTGTTTATGTCTCCATTATTTATATAGTTGACATTAATATGCATAATTTACTTTTAACATATGGAGTAATATGAAGCACAAGAAAGTGCTAAAATACTCGCTGTGTGTGTGTGTGTGTGTGTTCCAGTGTTGCACAGAAGCAGTGCTGTCTCAGCTCTGTGAAGGAAAGACAGTGTGAACTAGGCGTGACCTCAGCCAGAGGTGGAGACAGCTGTGACGTGGATGAGCGGGACTCGTGTCTAGATGACTCCTATCAGGTACGCACAGTGGAAGATTCACAGGAAGGCAGTTGAGTCATGACAGATGGTGAACAGATCCACCAAGGTCTCCATGAAGCAAGCACTTGGCTGACCAGAGGCTCACTCTTGTTTTGCTTTGTTAACAGAAACGGGGAGAAAATTATGTTTTTTTTTCTGTCACAATAACAGTGAAAGTTGCATTTGCCGGTTGAATCCTGAACTTAAACCACATTTGAATTTTGACTTATTTGAAGAAAACAGCTGCAAAAGCTTTTAAATTAAAACCTTTAATGTCGAATTTGAAGCCTTAATTTGAAATGCAACATTTTCTAGTTTCTAAGTAGTTGAGTTTTACCTTGTGGCTAATCCACCTGAGTTAAATGTTCCTGTATCAGCTCTTCTGCTTGCTGGGTTTTAGAGGATGGTTGCAAAAACCAGGTTAACATGTGGTTTTCTTTACAAAACATGACGCAGCTGAAGTCCTGCGCAGTGCGATAAAGCGGCTTGCTCATCTGTTTCTCTTTCATGCTGATGTTTACTAACCAGCAAAAAGCAGAGGGCCATAAAGTGAGGTGATGATTAGAGACGTGAAAGAGGTGATACTCTCCTAACAGGCTATGCTATTGTTGTGCGGACCGGCAGGTGTGCTGCAGCTGCTGCGTTCTTGGCTTACGTGTTCGCAGTGAAGGGCGGGGTTGTGATGCCCACCAGCACCTGGGCTATCCATGCGGTCACATCTTCCTCACTTGCTGCGAGGAAGGGGATGCTCTGAGCCTGTTGAGGAGAAAGCAGAAGCCAAGACCAACTGCCCTTCCCAGGAAAGGTATCTGTAACCCACTGCACAGTCGATTTCCACCTGGCAAAGCACGCATGTTATGCACTTTGCACATGCTAGCACTTATATTATGTATAATAAAAAACAAGCAAAGGAAGTGGCCGGTGAAAAAATGTAGTAATTATGACAGAAAGTTTCAGAGCCTTTGTGAACTGTTCTTTCCTGTCTCAACAAAAATATTCATGTAGTGAGGTTAGCGGGGTTAGCTATGTGCCCTTTGATCCATTCCAGTGCATGGCCTACCACATGCTCATTAAATTCAGCAGGTGCTATGTTAATTATCACAGCATGTCACATTTTTTATAAAATAGGCTGCAAGAAGCAGCGAAAGCAAACATCCGACAGTCTTTCCAGTATGTCCAACAATTAGGTTTGAAATAACACATTGTTATTCCCACATGAATCGGGGGAGATTCTATCAGTCCAATTCATCTTTTTTTTACATTTTATTTCTCTTCACGTTTGCTTTTATTTTGTGATGGTGAGTAAAGAGAAATTTGGGGGATGTCTTTGTTTCCCAGTCACAGTTCTGTGATCCAAAATACGAAGAAACAGAGATTGCGTGTAAAACTCTTTATGAATATTTAAAGTTACTTAAGTATGAAAAAGTAAACAAATACATTCACAGGAGAAATTTTACATCCCCCATATTGCTCCTGTCTGTTTAAACCTTTTGTCTGTGTAGGAACTTTTTAGAACTGAACAGAGACAAGTCATTGCAGGTCAAAGAAACCAGAGACAGAAAAGGTTCATATTTACCATCCTTTTCTCAGAAACACAGTGAGCAAGTCAGGAATGTTGCCATCAGTTCGGACATTCAGTTCAATTCGCCCGACAATATTACAGAGAAAACAATCAAACGACCTGCTTTTGGGCAACATTTGGTGACATTGGGACGGAAAACACCCTTTTAACAGGAAGAAACCTCCAGCAGAACCACACTCAGGGAGGGGAAGCCATCCCCCATGACTGGTTGGGGGTTAGAGGGCTTTATGCTTTATCAAAAGGGAAATCTTGGATTCTCCTGAATCCAAACTATGGTGATCTTGTTAATATGGCATCACATTAATAAGATTGCTGGAAGTGCTTTCTACCAGAATCAAGAATTTAAAAAACTCTCATCTCAAAGTGACTTGAAGAAATTTGTTCATGCAGGCAGATCATACAGGTTACAATACTGTAAAGCAGCGGTCTCCAACCTTTTTTGCGCCACGGACCGGTTTATGCCCGACAATATTTTCATGGACCGGCCTTTAAGGTGTCGCGGATAAATACAACAAAATAAAACTAGTACCGGTAAAAAAAAGAAGATTTATTCATAACACACGTGAAAAGACCCAGGAAAACCGAGTTAACGATACAAACGATAACAAAATAACACTGAAAACCGATAAAAACCCCAAAAACTATACATTTCACACCTGAGCCTCAACTCTCGCGGCCGGTACCAAACGACTCACGGACCGGTACCGATCTGAGGCCTGGGGGTTGGGGTACACTGAGCTGTAAAGCTCAGTGTACCAGGACTATCCATGAAGCATGAGTACATGTCTGAAGGAAACTCACTGGTGTGCGCTGGTATATCGCTGACTTGCTCAGTGTCTATAACTCAAATGGACCTTTCAGGTCATCATGTGCAAATAATTTAACTGCTCCCAGAATTGGATCTAAGTGTGCTGAAGGTGCTCTTATTACTGTGGTCCTGTTCTTTGGCTCGAGCTACACACTGACCTTAGATCAGTCACATCTATGTGTGCATTCAAAAACAGACTCACAATCTTTTTAATCTCATAGGCTTACATTTAATAGCTTTTGTCTGTTTGCATGTTTGGGTTAGCTTTCTGTGTTTTTATCTTTCATGTTAAGCACGTTGAGTTTATGACACATACACACTCCTCACCAACTTCTCACGTATTTGTGGCTACTGGCAAACCTGCACTGGGACAGCAAGCAGTCCAGATCTGAGCCATCAGTATTTTATTCTCATACAGGCCCATGTCAGATGCTCAGGGTTGATCGGTCAGGAGTCACGTTACCGTGCAGAGTAATGCGGAGCTGTGATGAATCAGGAACAGATGGCAGCTCGGGCTGTTGTCTCTCTACTTGGGCCAGCAAAGTTTCCCTCTGTCTTTGATCCAGCGGGTTGTCAAGAAGCTCAGGTTTAATGCACAAGCATTTCAGCAAACCTTCCATCTGCAAAAACATGACTGCTTGTTAACATTTCGCTGAATATGACCTACATACCTTGTTTGCAGCTGTAGGCGCTATTAGAAGGGATTTGCATGTTTTTCATCAATGACATCAGATTCGTGATGAGTGACATAAAACTTTTTACAAAAGCAGAAGAATCATTCCATAATCATTAGTTTGCGGTTTGGAATACCCTTTTCC